AGCAGTTTAAAACAACCAGTTGTTCCTTGGGAGAAAGATTGGGCTTTCTACTCCTGTAAAGAGTTACAGTCTTGGAAGCTCACAGGGACAGTTCTACCCTGTTCTATAGGATTGCTGTGAGTCAACACTACCTTCCTGGCAGTGAGTGAATGATGGGGAAAAATAAAAAAGAACTCCAAACCCATATCTTGCACCTTATACAAGTGGATCGTAGACCTAAATGTTAAACTATAAAACTTATAGGAAAAAAGGACCAAAAATGCTTTTGTAATCATCCACTTGACATATTATCCATTCTCATATATGTATGATATCAAAAGAACAACTATTGAAAAATAAATAATTTAAGCTTTCCTCAAGCTTAAAAACTTCTCTTCAAAAGACACAGACTGAACATTTTTTTCAAACATATAATTGGTAAAGCACTTGTATCCAAAATACTTTAAAAACAAACAAAAACCCTCAAAAGTCATTAATAAGAAAATAAATAGCCTAATAAAAAATGGGCAAAAGTTCTGACACTTAACCAAAGAAGATGCACAGGCGGCAAATATTGTATGCCTCGTCTATTCTGACTCATGGTGACTCAATATGACAGAACTGCCCCTTGGGTTACCTAGCATGTTTTCTTGACGGGAGCAGATCACCTGGAGGCCAGGTCCTTTCTCCTGCAGAGGCACCCGTGGGTTCACAGCAGCTGGTTTACCACTGGAGGTCTTCAGATAGAAAACAGGCATATGAAAAGATGCTCAGCACTGTTAATCACGAATGAAATGCACATTTAAATCATAGCGCGCTACCATTCCATGTGTTAGAATACCTAAAATGTAAAAGCTTGATCATACAAAGAGTTGGTAAGGGTGTGACGGAAAGGAAACAGTCATCCACTGCTGTTGGGAAAGTAAAATAGTCCAGTTTGGAAAACCGTTCAGCAGTTACTTAAAAACTGAAACACAAACTTATCATAAGAGCAACTCATTCCACTCCTAGTTATTTACACAAAAGAGTTGAAAGTGTATGCTGACCTATGAAAGGCTTGTATGTGAATATTCACTGCAGTTTTTTAGTAAAAGTCCTAAACAAACAATGTAAATATTCACTAGTAGCCAAATACAGAAATAAACTCTCATGGTCAGTGGGAATACAAAATAGTACAGATGAGTTGGGAAATATTTGGGCAATATTATTTTACAAAGTTAAAAACACTAACTATATCATTTGGCAATCTCATATGCAAGTATTGGCCCAAGAAAAATTAAAGTTTAAGTGGATGCCTGCCCCTCCCCCCAGAAGAGTTTATTTCAAAGGATGGCACTTAATTTGCAGCTCTGGGAGAAGGACATATCTGATCAGAGCACACGGGAGCAGATGAAGGGGGAGGA